GGTGGTGATGATGATGATGGAGATGGTGGTGATGGTGGGAAAATTGCAGCTTCTGAAATGGAAAGCAAGGAACAACATTAGCAGTAGCACCAAGGGAAGGGTCTCCTGGAAAAATACAGTGAGCCACTAACTACAGAGGGGCCCTGGGGAGGTGGCGGGCAGCCAAGGAGGTGTATCCCTGCTGGGACCTTCCTCCTGGGCAGGTGCCCCTAGCTGTGGGCAGTGCCGGGAGCCCATGGCCCTGACTGAGTTCTGGGTGGGGCTACAGCCTGGCCATTTCTGCCCAAGGTGGGCATCCTCAGACAGCCTTTGCCTGGACTCTGTCAGTGGTTCACGGCCCCCATCCTCCAGTCCTGCTACCTCCCTTTTATCTTTTTCAGGCAGGGTTTGGGGGTGGTGACAGAATAAGCCTTTTTGACAAGTCTGTGGTCCAGCTGGATGGGCACCTGTAAAGAGACTCACGACGCCAAATTTCTGTCTGTGGAACCTCATTTTCCATGCAATTTAGTAATGCAATTGGAAATGAGTTGTTATAGAAAAATTATTATTTCAAAACATAATGAACCCAAAAGCAAAACTTTAAAGTCACATTAGTGAAAAGTGGAGGTTTTATGATTATAATTTGTGATTTAATGGTCCACAAAGTGAATCGCAGGCATGCAGAGTTACCTCTGCACAGAGCACAGTAGGTTTTAGGGGTGGGGCCCCCACAACCCCCTGGGCAGCAGTAACCCCTGCATTCCTGTTTCCTGCAGGAGCCCTGGCCCCTGCCCCCCACCCCGGCTCTGGACGAAGCAGTGAGCCCCTCTCTGTGGACACCCAGGTCCTCTCGGGTCCAGGCCGAGGTCACCATGCAGAAGAGGAAGGTTCTCCTGGCCACCGTGTGGAAAAGGAAGGTTCTCCGTGTCCTCCACCTACCAGGAGCTGTCCCTGGCCACCAGTATCTTCAGGCCTTTCCCTACATCCCTCTCCCCATCCTTGACCCCTGTCGCCTACACTCAGGACTGCCCAGGCCCTTCCCCACTGTCTGCAGAGTGTGTCCAGCATGCACACTGGATGTGCACCTGTCCTTCCCTTGTGGTGCAAATGGAGAGAGGGCCATGGGCTGTGTGGCCAGCGGCTCTGCAGGATGTCCTGACCAGGAGATGGGGGACCAAGTCTGCTCCTAGGGAGCTGACCCATGATTTTGGTGATAACTACCCTTGGTCATTTGTACATCCAAGTCTATGGCCCTGGGACCTCAGGGCTCAGGCCCCAGGCCTGGCTGCTCAGCCACCTTGGCAGCTGGCCAAGGGCTGTGTTCCTGGAGGCTTTTCCCTGTGACCCAGACATGCCTGGGGTGATGGGGGTGTTTGGACCAAAGGCAGCAGATAAGCCCAAACATGATGAGGCCCATCCGACTGAATCACCTGCCCATGGAGGTGAAAATAGGGCCAAGAGCTGTGGTGGGG